TTCTTTCTCCCTACATTGTGTAGTTTTCCCACCTAGCTATATTCTGCCCTGCCATAGGTCAAAGCAGCTTCTTTACGAACCAATGGTAATAAAACATATTCATAGCATACACAGGGAATCCCACATCATCTATGACTTCATTAGATATGTTTAGCGTATTTAGAATGTGTAAATGTGTTTAGTAAATGTAATATTGCATCATAGTGTATTTGACCTAATATATGACTCCTACATTATTTATTGCAATACAGTTTTTTTGTTGTTTTTTATTATTATTATTATTATTATTATTATTATTATTATTTTGTTTTGTTTTCAAGACAGGGTTTCTCTGTGTAGTTTTGGCTTTCATAATTTTTGTGTAGGTTTTACTGTTTTTTTTTTTTCCAGGATGAAACTCTTGGAAAAGAGCTAGGTAGCAGATGTAGTTTGTTATGGTGTTGTGATGACTATTCTTGGTTGTCAAGTTGACTACATCTGGAATTAGCTAAACCCAAGCAACTGGGTGCACCTGTGAGGCATTGTCTTCATCATCTGGGCGGGGAGACCCATTCAAGTCTTTGGAGGTGGAAAGTCTACCGTAAATCTGGGCCACACGTTCTTGCGGCAGCTCATATGAAGGTCATGGAGAAGGGAGTTCTTGCTCTTTGCCTGCTTGCCCTCACTAGCAAGTTCATTCCGTCACTGGCATCGAATCCTTCGGATTCGGGGACAGTATGTGCATGCCTGCTACTAGCTTAAACCTTGGCTACCTGGGACCAGGATGCTGGTAATAAGCTCTCAATTTTAGAATCTAATAGGCAAATCCTTTTCCCCACTTAAGAAAATATTGATAAGTTCTGAAAAACTTAGGCTACGCACAGCATACAAGAGCCACCAACTACTGGTATGTTTTGAACTGTATCCACACAAAAGATATATTAACGTCTAAACCACAGTGCTTTAGTATTCTGTCTTATCTGAAAGCGTTTGGGCAGATGTAATCAAGTTAAATTAATTACAGTAGGATTTCATCCAGTGTAATTAATAGCTTCATAAGAAGACAAATAAGGGTTAATGTCAACTGAATATGATCAAAGTACATTACCTAACTACATGAAATTGTCAAAGAATAAAATTTAAAACTTGCCAGGGAAAGAGGTGAAGTAGAACATCCAGGGAGAAGATGAGGCTGACTGGAGTTATGCTACCACACACAAACATCCCGCTTCCAGGTGCAGAGGGAGAAAGAAGCATCCTTAGATAGCAGAGGGGCCCCGGCCCTGTCACACACCTCCACTGCAGGCTGCTGGACAGCACGACCCTGGGAGAACAATGTGGGACCTTACTATGTCGTACTAAGAAAGCAACTGCCAAAAAATTCAATTATTGAAATTTATAAATAAAATTCTACATGAAAAGAATGTCAAACCATGTTTGGCCCTGATCAAATGCTGATATTTTAACATTTGCAGACTGTGAGCCAAGTAACTCTCAGAAGATTTTATCAAAGCAACAGAAAAAGAAACTGGCACCGCTCCTGCCTATTATCTTGACTTCACAACAATTTTATCTTTTTGACGTCAAAGCTTTCCCCCTAATAACATTCTACACTGTCCCTTCCATGTTTTTTGAAATGGTAAGCTTGATACAGATGTCTGAAGGAAGCCAGGGCAATTTTTAAACCAATTAGGTCAACCCTAAGGACTCTGTGTATGATGGGGGTGGGGGAGGAGGAGGAGGGCGGATGCTCTGCTTCCTGAGACAGGCAGTCCTAATACTGTGTTCAGTCCATACATGCAGAGTTGTGTGGTCTTTGCTGAATCCTAGATTCACCGCACAGTCTCTCAAATGTGAGTTCACATATCCATTTGAATATCAGTTTATCAAATTGAATGAGAATGCTTGACAGACATTCAACTTAACTTACTTGCTTCTCCATATTCCATCCTAATAACACTGTCTACCCAAATAGTTGTTCAAGCCAAAACCCTGGGGCCTCACTTGTTGGACTAGAAGTCCAAACATCAGGGAGGAGTTGCTTCAGACACCACTCACACAGCCACAATTGATGCAAAAGCAAGAGGATTTTATTCTGTCATGACAGGGCCCTTCAGGTTCAGGATATGAAGGACCTATGATAGCTGTTACAGTCCATCTTTTAAAGCGAACAGCCACAGACACAAGGGGGGACCTGTAGGTTGTCTTCCAACTTATTGGATTGGCTTATTGAAAGGGTTACTAGTAGTGATTGGTCTCTTCCAGGGCAGGAGAGGAGCTGCATGATCGGGTAGATAAGAGGAGCATCTGTGGGCCATCCTGATCTCGGTCCAGTGACTAAATCAATACATCAGGAACTGAGTCAACATCTGTGAGTTGTCTTTGCCTCAATTCCCAGAATGGAGTTATGTTTGAAGATTATTCACAAGGACACAGGAGGATAAGCAGTCCAGCATGTGTGTGTGGGGGTGACTGTCCCGTTTCCAAGAGAGAGTGTAAGGTTTTAGAAAAATATCTTAGGGTTGAGGGGGCTTAGAAATGCATTTAGAGTCTTTCATACTCTTGCCTGTTTCACCAAAAGACTTATAATTCTACCTCCACAATAGAATTCTAGCTCAGTATTTGTCTAAGTTACTAAGACTATGCTCCAATTATTGAACATGTCTATGATCTACCAGTGGTTCCCACTGATAGTAGAATCATCCACAAGCTTAACACAAATTACAGAGAGTGGAAGATGCTGGTTGTGATATTTTTCTGGGTGTTGCTGATGCAATGCTAACATAATGGCAGTCCAGAGATGGCACTTTCAAGGGTCACTCCAGCACCAGACACAGCAGAAAGTTCTTAAACGGAGCTTCGTAGCTTCTGGGTAGCCATTGTGCAAATGATTGACAAAAGCAATTTCCTTTCCTGCACAAAAATCAGAGTTGCCAAAACCAATAATTTCAGTAAATGCACACCATGGGTTCTATATGGTTTTCCTTTTAAAGCGCTCCCAGATCTTTTCAGGTCTTTTGTTGCCATTTTGTATGAGAGTAACCCTTTAATCCAAACACTTTGAAGTAAGGCTCCTAGCAGTGAAACACCAAGTATGTAACAGGTAGGCTTTACAATGTTTCAAGTAGAAGGAATAGAGGGTATCAGAATTACCGGCTAATTCCTAGGTATCACGAATTACGCTTCCATCTTCCTAAAAGGAAAGCCTCCGCATACATCAGCATGTGCTTGAAAAAAGCATCAAAAGATTTGTAGAAACTTAAATCATAAAAATTGGATTTTCTAATTAAACATGAATGGAAAACATTCATTGTGCTTAGAAGGTAAGTTTGCTTACTTACATCCACTTTCATTGCCTGCATATAAATTAATCAAAGTAAAGTTAAGCAATTGCTTGGCTAAGGGAATCAGATCGGACAAAATGAAAGCTGAAGACAAGTAAAGAAGTAGCCGCACTCTAAAGAAAGATACCCGTGTTCTGTCTCAGGATCATTCTCCGGGTACTGTGTGTCATAAATCAGAGAGGACTAAAGGAAGCGAGACACTGGTAAAGGGTAAGGGGAGATGGACAAGCCTTGATCCGAGATGGAAGCAGCATCTGCCCTAGAAAAGGTTCGAACTGTTCAAAAGGCAAAGAGTACTTGGTGACCTAGCCAGCTGCCCAGGCAACAGAGCAGCAGGAGCAGGGCCGCCAGGCTCTCCCGCGATGGACACAAATAAGCAAGCGGACGATCGAGCTCCCGGGGAACCCGGCGTGGGACGAGAAGCCCGCACCGGAGACGGAGCGGCTCACCTACACCCACCCGGCAACTCTCTCCACACCGCCGCACTCCCTGTCACAGGCGGGGCGCGCTCGGCCCGCTCCCGCGCCGGCAGAACCGAAGTGCGGCAGGCCGGGGCGCCCCCGAGAACCCGGCACTGACAACGGCCACAGGCAAATGAGGGCTCTGGCCAGGCGCGTCGTGATTCGGCGTTCGCGGCGGCGCCGAGGCGAAGGAGCCCGGCTTATGTAAATGAGCGGATTGTGAGCGCGCGCTCCTATTGGCCAAGGAGCGAGGACGCGTGTGAGCCAATGAGCGCGTCAGGCGGACAATCGGGGCCGTGTCTATAAATGGAAGAGGCGGCGGCACCGTGGTCCAGTTTCCTGTTTGCGCGAGCGTGTGAGTTTGTGTGTTCCGTCATGTCTGGCCGCGGTAAGCAAGGAGGCAAGGCCCGCGCCAAGGCCAAGTCGCGGTCGTCCCGCGCCGGCCTGCAGTTCCCGGTGGGGCGCGTGCACCGGCTGCTGCGCAAGGGCAACTACGCGGAGCGCGTGGGTGCGGGCGCGCCCGTGTACATGGCGGCCGTGCTAGAGTACCTGACGGCCGAGATCCTGGAGCTGGCAGGCAACGCGGCCCGCGACAACAAGAAGACGCGCATCATCCCGCGCCACCTGCAGCTGGCCATCCGCAACGACGAGGAGCTCAACAAGCTACTGGGCAAGGTGACGATCGCGCAGGGCGGCGTCCTGCCCAACATCCAGGCCGTGCTGCTGCCCAAGAAGACCGAGAGCCACCATAAGGCGAAGGGCAAGTGAGGCCGCTGCCCGCATCTTGGCGGCTCGCGTCTCGGGGACGCTCGCGAACTCAAAGGCTCTTTTCAGAGCCACCCACTCCTTCAGATTAAAGAGTTGTGTCACGGTAGCCGGTGTCGTGGCCTTTGGCGGCCCGTTCCCAAAGTGTAAGATGTAGCGTGGGCCACTCGCTTTAGGCGTCCCCAGCGCCCTTCCCACTGTGTCCGAGGTCCCCCAGGTGGTCGTCTGTGCGGTCGCCCTAAGTGCTCCTGTCCCGGAGCGAACCCCGCACTGTCCTAAGCACTTGGCGCCATATGTCGGTCCTACACATCCACCCTGCATAACTTGTCCCGCGCGCTGCTTCCCGCCCCAGTCTCCTGAACGTTTCCTGCCCCTCCCCCGGGCTTGGGACTTAACCCCGACGTCGAGCCCAGGGCAGATGCAAAGCACAACTAGCCCCGCTCTCGCCCGATCCCCCGGCAAAGTCTACAAGAGGGACGTGTATCGGGACGACGGGGCGCGGCCAGCTCTCGGGATCGCGACGGGGCGATCACTGGGCGACACTGAACATTATTAGCTCTGGGACTTTGGACGACGGGCGGGCGGGTGAGCTCGCGCGCCTCTCTGGAAGAGACGTCCAGAGTTGGGATTTGCAGCCAACAGAGGTGTCCCCCTGTCGCGTTGTCCAGTCAGCTGGCCGCAGGCTGGACAAGGCAGCAGGGCGACCAGGGGCGGGGCAGCCCCAGCCAATGGGCCGGCCCGGGGCCGGTGACGCCACGGCCAATGGCCCGGCAGCGCGGGACTTTCAAGTCGCTGTCTCCGCCCCGCCGCGGGGAAGACTGCGCCTATAAAGTCGGCCGGCTCGTTCCCGCTCAGGTCTCCGCGCTTCTCGTCTCGGTGTGTCCCATCCCCGTCATGGCCCGCACGAAGCAGACCGCCCGCAAGTCCACCGGCGGCAAGGCCCCGCGCAAGCAGCTGGCCACCAAGGCTGCCCGCAAGAGCGCGCCGGCCACGGGCGGCGTGAAGAAGCCGCACCGCTACCGGCCCGGCACCGTGGCGCTGCGCGAGATCCGGCGCTACCAGAAGTCGACCGAGCTGCTGATCCGCAAGCTGCCGTTCCAGCGCCTGGTGCGCGAGATCGCGCAGGACTTCAAGACCGACCTGCGCTTCCAGAGCTCGGCCGTCATGGCGCTGCAGGAGGCGAGCGAGGCCTACCTGGTGGGTCTGTTCGAGGACACGAACCTGTGCGCCATCCACGCCAAGCGCGTCACCATCATGCCCAAGGACATCCAGCTGGCCCGCCGCATCCGCGGGGAGCGGGCCTGAGCGCCACGCGTCGGTTCCATCCCACCAAAGGCTCTTTTCAGAGCCACCACGTGCGCCCGAAGGAGCTGTTCGCCTCTCTGTCCTTGTCTACTACGGTCATGGGGAGAGGTCGGTTTCGGGGTGGTCGAGGAGCATCTATGGGTGGTCTAATTTTCTCAGTTGTTGCACTTGTGGCCCTTTAAGGCTTCTTTGCAGGAAGTTTCCCAAAACACCTGTTGAAGTAACCCAGTAGCATGCTCTGGGAACAAATGCTTTCACAGCCGCCTTGCAAAAGTGTTCTATTGTGGCCCTTTAATGGGTGTTTGTTGAATTGGGTTTGTTTTTTTTTTTTAAGCGATTGTTGGGTTTTCTTATTAACCTCTTTGTCTAGTTCCCTAGTTCAATCAGTCTGCAACGCCTTTTGTCTGCCTGGGCATCTTAAACCTGTGCTGTATTTCAACTGGTATTGCTAATGATATCGCTGGTGCTGAGATGGGTTGGAGCGACCCTGCCATAAGGCAGTCGCTAAGGAAACAGCATCGCAGTCCAGGAGTTAAAGGATCTGTTGTGTAAGCATGACAGGAAGTATCCTCTACTGATGAGTGCCACGCCCACCACTGTCCAATCCTGGGTGTGCTATGACCTGGGTGGGAAAAATAGTGCACCCAGTGCCTGAGCATGTCGGGGACCCTGCTCTAGCGGGGAACCGGCCTTCCTAAAGAAGCTGAACGTCCCGGACACCTAGATTTCAGCTACCTTATAACCTTCCTAGACTTCTGAAGATAATTGTTGTTTCTTCCCTTTACTTCTAGACAATGTCTGGGGACTGACTATGTGCTCATGATCGGTGGTAAGTGGGCCACTATCAGTAATATCCAGTGACACCCGCCTTCCCCCTATTCCTGTGGAGTTGAGGAATTAGACCTCTTGTAGCCTCTTGGAACTCAATATGTATTACTCTTGTTTGACCTTATTCTGTGGCAATTGGTTACTTTCTCCCCCTTATTTCCATTTAATTTACTTTAAAATGCCAACCCAACTGCAATATGATATAATATATGCATTATATATCAGAGACTTCTGTACAGAAACAGACTCTGAATGTCAAGGAAGGACTTGCTATTTCTTGGCCTGAGGAGGGTCTTCTGCAGGGGTGAATGTTGCACCTGAGACTCAAAGATCATAGTAAATAACTCGGGTCATTATCAGGGACCTTCCCTCTTGTCTACTGTCTGAAACTTCTAGGAAATCTTCCAGGAAGCAAACTTGAGCTTTGCCTAAATATTTGAGAAGTTACCAGTCCAAGGTTCTTTGAATTCAAGATACTGGTGGTCAGTGACCCAGGGAAGCGCCATGACTCCTCTTTTCACCTCTCTGCCATCTGAGAGCCCCCAGAGCTGGGAGGAGGATTCGAGATTAGCTCTGCTCCAAAGCCAGCCTGTTAACTGGGGTATGGGTCAGGGTCTTAGCCTGCACTCCATCCCATTCCTAATCCCTTCAATCATTGGCACCTGAGACTCACTGATAAGCGGAGAAACTGATGCAGAAATAGTTTTTAAAAACACTGTGCCTTTGAAAGGAGTGGATAAAGGGGGAAACTGAGGGCTGGGGCTCTGGTCACTCACTCATGACAGTGACAGTTTCCAGCCCTACCCTGAGTGCTTCAATATGGAACTAGAACCTTGAAATCAGTGATTATAGTATTACAACACTGTGCCTATTACACAATGGTGATATAGGTGCGTATTAGAACACACAGGGCTGGCAGGGATGCAGTAAGAAGGTGCCGGCTGCGAGCCAGGGACAAAAACTCGGAGAACCAATCCTGTCCCCACTTTGGCTTTGTGTGTCCAGTCTCCAGAGTCATGAGAAATTGTCTTCCGATTAAACTACCCAAAATGTGATGATTTGTTGGAGTGGCCTGCTGTGGGCCTGCTGTGGGCCTGCTGTGGGCCTGCTTTGGTTTGAATATGGTCTGAGATGTGTTTCCTCGAGTTCTTGTGTTCAAGGTTATGTCATTCGAAAGTCTGCAGTATGGCTTTGTTGAGGGTGGGGGACTCTTACATCGGTGGTCTAGTACAGCCTTATCAAGAGCGTGAGGACATCATTCTCAGAATTAATTGATGCATGCCCTTAGGAGATAGTTCTTAAAGAGCTGGTTATCCTAAAAGAGAGACCTTCCTATCTGCTTGGCCTTTCTGCATGTCAAAAGGTCCCTTTCTGTTTCTGCGCTGTATTTTACTGTGGTCAAGTTCCATGCTGTTTGAACCACCGAGTCCCCAGAATTGCAAGCCAAATATACAGCTTTATAGAGAATTTGGATGTTTTGTTATAGCAGCAGACTATAAACAGACAGAATCCTGGCCAACTTATCCAGCTCACTTCGTTTCTGTTCAGGGCCTCGTTTCCTGCTCAGCCACAGTGGATGGATGATTGGGTCCTTCCCACCTGCGTTCAGATATAAGCAGAAAGTTTAGCAGAGGCTTAGAGCTGCGGAGAGACAGCACTTCGCACCCGTCATCTTACTGGACTTTGCTTCAAAGGTTGAGCCCCAAACTTCTCAGAATGAGTGACTTTTTGGAACATTAAAACTATCAGTGGCTAAGCAGACCCATACGCGTGCAGATTTGCACCATGACATGAAACTAAGGCAGATTTAACAGCAAAATGCCAACCAATTTAGATAGCAAAGAGAGCCAAGATCGCTCCACCCACACCAGAAATCTGGGTGACAGTGTGTACATGTCCTAAGGCAGTCAGGGATCCTAGCTTAGTCGGAACAGCTATGACCTGCCTTTGCCTTTCTCACTGTAGGGCCACTGCACTCCCTTCTGTGACTTGAGTCAAACTTGCTTGCCAAACTCAGACCACAGGATGCAGGAGAGAGTGGAAAAGGAAGGGGAGGGGGAGGTGCAGTTTACTGGGCAGTGCAGGACCTGGCCTCTTGGCAGATACGGGACACTGGAAGCCTTCTCCTTTTAATCTTTTCTGGCTTCCTACTGAAGGTGAGCTTTTGAGGTCAGTGACTTGCTTACCTCACAATGTCTCTTCCTAGGCTGCTACCCAAGAGCTGTGGACTTTGGCCATGAATGAGTTAAGCCAGTTCTCCACTCAGCCCTAAGACTTCCCCAGGACACTGTCTTTCACAGGGGAAAGAAAGAGTTGACAGTACAAATGAGTGTGTTTACTTTTGGAGGAAATAACAGATGATTTGACCAAATTCCTCTCACCCAGCCTAGAACCAGGCTTCCCCAGGACACTGCTGCCTAATATAGCAGCCACCTTAGGGACAGCACACATGCACACAACACTCTCCAACCCCAAACATCCCAGAGCTGGGGCGACAGAATGTGCCTCTTACTGTGGCCTCGGAAGACCAGGAGGAATTGTGGGAAGACCAGGAGGAATTGTCCACAGCTTTAGGGCTTCCTCAACTGCCGCAGGCAAGGTGATGACAGAACTCAGATTCCCCATGCCTGCTGCTGTCCCCCATTCTGACTTCCCATGCCTGCCACTGCCCCCATTCTGACTTCCCATGCCTGCCACTGCCCCCATTCTGACTTCCCATGCCTGCCGCTGTTCCCCATTCTGACTTCACATACCTGCCACTGTCCCCCATTCTGACTTCCCATGCCTGCCACTGCCCCCATTCTGACTTCCCATGCCTGCCACTGCTGCCATTCTTACCACAGCCTTTGACAGGCATTTTGCAATGTTGCTTTGGTTTGAGAAACCAGGACAAAGTAGTAACGGTTTTTTAATGTCAATATCAAAACATAGGACCTGGAGAGATAGCTCAGGGATGCTCTTCCAGAGGACCCAACTGGGTTCCTAGCGCCTAAGAACCTCATCAGGAAGCTCTCAACCACCTGTAACTCCAGCTCCAGAGGATTCAATGCCCTCTACTGGCTTCCGGACACACACGTGTAGCATATCGTTACACAGACATACACACACACACATAAATAAAAAGTAATAATGAGCTAAGTATAAAAGGAGTGCTCCACTTTCAGATCAGGCAACACACACACACACACACAAAATAGCTACAAAGAATTCAGTCTCTCAAATTCTCCTAACAGAGCTGGCCAGATGGCTCAAGAGGTAAAGTCATTTGCTAATAAACCTGGGAACCTGAATTCAATCCCCAGAATCCATGGTGGAAGCAGAAAATCAACTTCTGACAGTTGTCTTCTGACCTGGGTCACGGTGCTCACACACACACACACACACACACACACACACACACACACACTAAACTTTTAAAGGAAAGAATATTTGAATATTCTCAGTATCAGGTGTTTCCAGGAAAAGTCAGTCACAAAACTGGTATTATTCACGGGTTGTGGCCTTGGCAAGGACAAAGGTGTAAGTGGACACAGGTGGAATGCTGGCTGAAAGAGGCCAGAGGCACAGTTAAACATATGGTAGCTTGGCGTTTGGAGCATGCAAAAGGAAGGACCTCTGGCCCAAGGAGTGGTTCTCAGTCTTGGGTGACTCTTCCACAGGGACTGCCTGAGACCATCAGAAAACAGATGTTTATATTATGATTCAAAACCATCAAAATTACAGTTATGAAATAGCAATAAAATAATTTTATGGTTGGGGTCACCACAAAGTAAGAAACTGTGTTGTGGAATAGAGTATTTGTTTAAGTTTGTAAAGATGTGTTACATTTGTTTGTGTTGCAGAATAAGTATTTTTGTCTATGTAAAGATGTGTTACTCCTTCACCTTACTTACCTGTCTAAGGCATCTGATTGGTCTAATAAAAAAGACTGAACAGCCAATAGCTAGGCAGAGGCTGACAGAGAGAAAGGGGAGCTGATCAGCAACAGGGGTGGGAGGGTAGAAGGGTGAGGGTGGGAGCTGGCACCAGCCAGCACCAGCCAGCCACAGGGGGAGCATGAAAGCGGGATGGACAGTTCATAGATGAGGCAAATGAATCTTAGGGCAGCACACAGATGAATAGAAATGGGATAATTTAAGTTAAAAAAAGAAAACTAACAAAACAAGTCTAAGCCAAGGCTGAGCATATAAAATAATAAGTCTTCATGTCATGATTTGGGGGCTGGTGGTCCAAGAAAGCCTGCTACAAAACGGTAATAAAGGGTCAGTGCGTTAGGAAGGCTGGAAACCGCAGAACTAGAAGATAATGGTAGATTTCAGAAAGGTAGAAAATGAGGGCCAAGGAAAGCAATTGATTCTAGAGCCAAAAATTTACACCAAGTCCCTCCTGACACAGAAACTGAGATTCCTTGTATCTAAGGGAACACTCATCTGGCAGTTGGGAATTTTAACCTGTTCACTGAGGTGGCTCAATCAGACGTGTTTGTGGGGAAGCTCTAGACAGATAGCTAAAAGGATAACAGATCTACCCATGCATTAGAAGAGACGGGCTTAGAGAGACAGCTCAGCAGTCGGGAAAGCATCCTGAGAACCTGAGTTCAGTTCCCAATGCGCATGCCCGGTGTTGCAACTCTAGCTTCAGAGAATCCAACATCCTCTTCTGCCTCTGCAGGCACCTTCATCACACACACACACACACACACACACACACACACACACAAGGGGGGGAGAGAACTAAGGTTTAAGAACTCAGTCCACATAATTTTTTTTTTGTTTTTATTTTTGTTTGTTTGAGATAGCATTTCTCTGTAGCTTTGGAGACTGTCCTGGAACTAGCTCTTGAAGACCAGGTTGGCCTCGAACTCACAAAGATCTGCCTGCCTCTGCCTTCCAAGTGCTGGGATTAAAGGCATGTGCCACCACCGCCTGGCCCACAAAAAATTTGATGGGAGAACTCCTAATCTAGAAAGTGAGAGTTTCTGCATCCCGATAAGCCCCTCTGCCAAAGCAATATTTCAAATCAGACCAAATCAAACCAAATTAGTAAAAGCCCAGGTTTAATGGATACAAACTTGTATGTCTTTCCAGTCCCCCAGAGAAGAGACAGGAAAGGAAGACCAGAAAACCTCGTGTTCATTCTCGGGGGGGGGGGGCAGTTTAAATACCCTGTGGGAGTGGTCTTGAGCATGTCTGGAGAGGGGTCATCATTTGGGGGGCTTTCTCGGGGGGCAGAATCTG